GGAGCTTGATACTGCGTTTCTAAAATACTCATTTTCCTTTTGCTTTCAGGCAGGTGCAGAGCTTCATACCAGTATTCATTACCTTAGCTGTACATACTTTGAGATTCAGACTGTAAGGGACTGAATTTTCACCACCACCTTCCAAATTGTGTCACGTAGGCAGCTGGTGGAATTTGAAAGCTTGTAGGCAGTGTCTAGGGTGTCAGGTTCCTCTAATGCATTCCACCGAGTTAAAAGATTAATCTTTTTCAGGATACCATTTGAGTCCTCAAATATCCTATCTGTAGGTAGCAAATACTGGGGAAACTCTTCTAGACTTCTTCATTTTGTTTGATAAATGAGAGAAAGGGAGAACTGGAACTAGTCATAGATAAAGAATAAGTTTGAATTTTTTTTCTCCTAATCAAAACGTCCTTTCTGGTTTGTTTGGGCTTGGTTGTGTTTTAATGTTGGGTCAGTGTGTATCAGTTTCAAAACTATGTGGGTTTAATTTTAAACTTCCCTACCAGCTTAGAGTTGTGTGCTGCTGCTGATTAACCACTATCTGTCAATCGTCTGGCTGGCTGCTGACATTGTGTTGTATTGCTGTATTGCATGTGGGCTGTTTTATAAGTTGAAATGCTACAAAACAAGGATTTTATGTTAAAACAATGTATAGGCTGCTCTGATGGGTTGTAATTATTTATTTCCTTTCTGTAAACTGTTTTTTGCTTGCTCTTGAAAAGTACTGTTTAAGACAACTGTAAGACATTATAATCTTATTTTTCTAGAGTCACCAACAGTGTAACATTTTATCAGGTTATCACATTAATTTGTTTTGCATCAAAGTGGGAGAGATGGGATTTCCTACCGTGAGAAACTTGAAAATTTGAATTAAAAGTTGAAATTCTTGTTGCCTTTTACTTTGTGCTCTGTATGAATTCTCCCCACCGCAGTAACAGCGTCTTACGCTTTGTCATAAAAAGGCCGCGTTTCACACGCTGCGCTCCCGCGCTGCAGCGCCATACCCAGCGCTCTCCGCTAACCGCGTTACCCGCTGCCGCTCTTGCGATTGCCGCAGCGCTTTGCTGTCCCCGGTCGTCCCGCAGCGCTTTGCTGTCCC